AAAAAAATAGAAAAAAAAATGTCTGCTATGTATCCATGGATAAATATCAATTTTTGCTGGTGCAAATTCTTGTCAGCTAACTAATGTATCATGCATCTTGTTTTCTTTTCATTTGCCAGGACATTATCTGAGATGTTGGAGAAGGGAGTTCAGGCATTTCTACCTTATTGATTTTGCTCGAACCTTGCATTCTTCAGCAATGAATTTCAATTTCCTAAAAATTCTACCATTAGTCCATTTTCACCCAGCTATTGTTAAAGAACCAGAGCATAAAACACCACCGACTACAATAGCCCGAAAGATTGAGAATGGCAAAGTGATCGAAGCATCTAGGAATGCATCTACTGTTATAAATGTATGGGGAAGATCTCTCCATTCCTTCATTCCATGGGTTTATAATTTGAAGCGCAAGGAAGAATCTCAAGGGCCAAAGGCAGTTGAACCTCGATACACTCGACCTTTCTTCAGGCCTTATGTTGCTAGGGTTCCTTATCATAAAGGTGCCCGAGCCTTTCTTTCTCTGCTATTTCCTCGATATGGCCATTATTGTGGGCCAAACTGGTCCAGTGGCAAAGATGGCGGGTCTCTTCTATGGGACAAGCGCCCAATTGATTGGTTGGATTTTTGTTGCTATTGTCATGACATTGGTTATGACACCCATGAACAAGAAAAGCTTTTGAAGGCAGACCTGGCATTTCTCGAATGCTTGGAGAAACCAATGATGAGCACGAAGGGTGATGTTCATGTGGCTTACGTTTACAAGGCAATGTGTATTACAGGTATTTTGTCTCAGTTATTTCAACTCTAACCATATCTGATGCAGCGGGCACACACACACACGGTTGTGGGGCTATTTGTTTTTTGTTGGTTGGGGGGGGGGCGGGGGGGGGTGTGGAAGGCTTTAATAAATTCCAGTGAGGAAAATGTAATTTCCTATCTTAATTTTCTAAGGAACTTGTTGTTTTTATTGTATTTTATTGGTCTATACACATAGTTATGAAATAATCACCTGACGGTTGGAGTAGCAGTACAGGGTACTAACTTTGATTTTGGATGGGCGCCAAAATCTCTCTCTCTCATACACACACATGCACGCACAAGCGCGTTTTCACACATACATTCATTTTTGGATTTTTCTTATCTTATTTCTTTATCATGGTTTTCAGAATGTTGGGTTTTTTTTTTTTTTTTTCTTTTTTCAGTTTTATTATTCCTTCATTTATTATTCTGTTCCCCTTTTTTATCACCAATTCTCTCTTTTTTTTTGCTATTTTATATTGATTTTTTTCTTTGTTTTGTGGGATTATTTTTCGATTATCTATTACACATAATTTATCAGCCCCTTTGTTTTCTCGGTTTCTATCCCTTTTCTAGTTTTTTGATTACATCTTCTTTTTCCTATTACCAATGCATGTATTAGTGGCCTCATATTTTAACGTTTCCTTATTGCAACATTCTGTTTTTCTTACTCAAAAAATATTCATTCTGATTTATTCATTAGGTTTATGTTGAAAACGAATTAATCAATATGTGTACATTAATTTGATCTTGTGCAATGGCAGGCCTTAGAAACATGCTGATACCCTATAGAAAGCAACTTCTGAAGCTGCAAGAGAAACCATTATCAATAGAAAGCCTGAACATTTTCAGAGGAAAAGGTGACACCTTTCAGCACACATAACTGTGCATTATCCCGCAAATACTATCACGAGGCAGATCAGTTATAGACATTGGTGCCATCTAGTGACTTGAAAATTGAAGTCTGTGTAACTATAAATGCAGCTATACTAAGGAGCATTTGAATATTAAAGCTTCATATTGAGGTATTAAGTTTCACTAGGCTCCTTTTTCCTTGTCTTTGTAACCATTGTATATATAATTAGATATGGCATGTGCCCTTCAATGTTTTCAATTTCTAAGACATGATCTATTGATGTATTGATAAGGCGCAATAAATTTGTTGGTATATATTTTACTCTCGATACAATGACTTTTTCTATCCTATAATTGTAAGTCTTTTCAAGGATGTAGAATTGTATCAGTTGACTGCTTAAAAATAAACAATGCATATGGAGAGGGATCTGCTTTCGAGGCAACAGGATATATCTTGCACATACCTTTGAAGATTGGATTGGGCTTTAGATGTGCAATGTAATAGCCCATGTTTGAATTATGGAGTGTTGTCGGTGAGTACTTGTCGGGCAGGTCCAATGTAAAAGCTGTCTATATAACTTGCGGTGATGATTACAACATGAATATCAGGCAGTAATCCCTGTTTAATATAGTTTATTGAAATTTATGCCTTACTGCCTCATTTAGTAGCGTGTAAAGGGCATCCAGTATTAGGATTGGCTATTTTGGCTTTGTTCTCTCTCTTTTATCCTTTTATTATTATAAATACAAATAGTCAACTTTCTCAAAAAGAAAAAAAACTGCCTCATCTAGTAGCAACATCCGCATAGACGCTCAATGTATAGTAAGTTCTACTTGCCACCACTAGCTTCACTTTTTTTTTTACCCTTTCTTCTCTTTTATATCTTTATTAAATACTTTTTGGTTCGTGTATAAGGCGATTTGAATGTTTCCCTGAACTCCTTTGAGAAACATGGTGTGATTAGGTGATCATAATGGCTGAGATGACATCATCATAGTCTTACAAATTTGAAAGTATTTCATGTAATTAACCATACAAAATTTTCATTTCTTGAAAAGTAATTCATTATAGAGGAAATATCTCCGTACACCTTGTTTTTAGGTTTCATTTCTCAACACACCCAAGGTTTCAAAACATATCTAGCGGCATAGAGATCCCCTTCTAACCCCTTAGACCAATTTTATCCACTTTGACCCTATCTTTTTAGCCCAAACAAATGTTAGAAAGACATCCTTTTTTCTATGCCTTTCTAAACCTCCTCGTCTCTCTCTCTTCCCATTTTTCTAGCCAAACCTCTCTCTCTGTTTATCTCTCTCCCCGTGATTCTTCCTGAACTTCTCTATCTCTCTGTATACACGTGTTTCCCCCAAATCTCTCTCTCACACTCTCTTTCTCTCCCTGTGTTTCCCCAAACCTCTCTCTCTCTCCCTTCCTCCTCCCCACAGCCACCGCCACCGCCACCGCCACCGCCACCCCCACCCCCACCCCCACCCCCACCCCGACCCCCACCCCCACACACAATGTAAAGCCGGCTCATAGACATTCTCAGGCAACATTTCATGCACATATCTAGCAGTTGCACAACCCATATCCCTTGCTCCATCTGAAACAGCTTAATCACAGGGCCATAGTGAAGAAACATTCAAGACATGACTCATCTGGACTGATGCCAATTGCTTTGCATTTTTCACACTTCATGCAAGAAAAGGTTGCAACAAGGGAAAAGGGTCTGGAAAGGAAAGTGGGAAAAGATAGGATCTCATCTCTAACATTTATAAGTACGAATGCTAATTTTCCAGAAGTTTAGCTATATTCCACATAATCTAAGCCTCCAAAAGAAACAAATTAGGAAATAATTTGAAAGTTCTATGAATAATTACATACAATCTACATTTCATCCAACATAACGACTGTCACTTAATGATGCATGGACCAGTTAAACTGATTTGGTATTTTAAATTTAAACAGCAAAAATTGTTGTAGCACCTGATATTTTGACTACTAGGCACACAGGTCGATGTTAATACTTAGAATGTGCTTAGAATGTGTATTCCAATATTGAATTGATATTGAATTGCTCATATAACTATTAACAACCATGTTGTATGCATATTCAATGAAAATGAAACTGAAAGGAGATGTCTATATAAATATAAGAGCAAGCAAGATGACTATCATGCATTGGCAGTGGAACATCCATGCATCCTAAAGAAGAAATTATCATAAGGAGCACAGAATTTAGCAGTTGTAGGTTGCCCACAAGAGAATTCCTATGAGTTATTTTCCATATAAATCACCTGTAGTGTAGTGTATAAATATAGGGGAAGAGAGAGAGAGAGAGAGAGAGAGAGAGAGAGAGAGAAGAGAGTAGGGAACAGTGGGAGAGAGTAGGTAGGGAACAGAGGAGAGAGAGAGGTAGGTTACGGAACGACGGGAGA